CTGAAATCATGGCACATATCCTTAGGGCTATGCATATAGGTTGAAAAATGCTGTACTAGACAAAAAGTAATCTTGCCAACTAGGGGCTGATAATAATTTCATGTTTGCTTATGGCATTATTAAATGTTTTCTTTGCATGAAAACATCAGGTATTTTGGATTTCAGAGGATTCTTGGAGCTTTCAAAGTGTGCTATATTTAGTTTATATTGTTGAAAGCATTGTGTGATACATAACAGGAATTTGTCATAAAATATATTAATGCCATAATCGCAAGTTAAAATTATGGAAAGGGGGAGCAGTACAAAAAGCTAATCACCACAAAAAAGATTGTTGCTGAATGTGTGCAACTGATCCCTGAAGGCATTTTATGACAGTGCTATGAACCAAACAGCCAACCATTAATTTATAGCAGTGATTAGCTCTTAGTACCATAAATCTCAGGATCCCGAATGAATTTGACTTTTAACATTTGGTTGTAAGAGGCTAAATTCTGATGTTAGGTTTTACATAGTATGCTTTAAAATATATAATTAATTTAATATGTCAGTTTTTAAGGCAATATTATAATTAAACTTGTAACATTGAAAATAATAAATATATATGCTTGTATTAGTGAAGTAATTAAGGTTAATGGAGAGAAATTAATGAAAAACCATGATTTTTTGTGGTTTGCTATAAATGTAATGTTACTGTAATATTTATTTCTTTTTCTAATTGTCTGTCTTTTAGAGTGAAGCCGTATGCCACGGTTTGTTTTCTTTTTACATAAGCAGAATTTCTGTCTTGTTTGTAAAGAGCTAACTGTATGCAAAGAGTTATTTTGATATTATCTATTCAGTGGTTCAAAGCTGTGATTGTATTTGAATGGTAAAAATCCATAATTAAGAGTATGCAGGACTAAGTGTTACTGAAACATCAGGTGTAGCTAACACAATATCCTGTGCTACTGAAAAAAAGTATTTTTAAAATATGACCTGATGCACTATTAATTGTGGAAAAATTTAGGACTTCTTTATGTATGCTAAATTTGCACTTAGATTGTACTCATCAAGACTTCGATGATTCTGGATTTGGGAATTTTCTGGATTTCAGGTTATCAGTTTAAATGTAGTAAGATGACATGTGGAAATATAAAATCAGAAATCTGTTTATGAAAATATGAAGCATTTACAAACTTAAGGGAATCAAATATTTATTTACTAGTTTGTTTTATTAAACATCTCTTTAAATGTAAGTTAATTAAGTTGCTTCATTTTTTGTATTACTTTAATTTTTTATATAATTTCTTGTTCATTTAGAAAGTCCTGGAATTGTCAAGAATTTCTACTAAATTGTCAAATGATTTTTTTTTTCTTTCTCAGCAACCTCTGTCACCTTTTGGTAGCGATATTTTCTGGATTTGGAGGCATACTGCAGATTTCGCCGTATACTAGTTGATTTGTTATTGGGTTATTATCATTGCATTGGAATACTTCTGTTATATCATCTTTATTTATTACCACTTCTCCAGATTTCTTCATTCTTTCAATTCCATTAATTAGAAAGTTTTATTTTTTCCCTGCAACATCCAAAAATCTTCAAATTCATCATTAAGCTTAGTGAACAGTCATGGTACGCTATTGGAGATATATAATTAGATTAGAACTGAAGACATGTTGTTCCAATAAAATTTGTCTTGCTCCTCTTGCATTCTGATGAAGTTAAGCATGTATTATATTAGTTTTGCTGTTTATTATACTTCTGTCTATTTCCTGCATATGCTAAAGGCTTTTTTTGAGTCCTGATGAAATAAATTCTTGTGTATATTTAAGGTGGTACTTTTCCATTATGCACCTGGTGTGCATTTTGATGCCCCCTTATTTTTAAAGAATTTCTAGTTATAAGAACAGTTTATAGATGGCAAACACACACACTTCGTGGCAGGTGATGGCCAGACTGAAAAGTGCCTTAAGACTTATCAGAACAGCAACTCATTTATTTTTAATTCAAACAACACTAAATGGCTATGAATGTCATTTGCAAAATCCATTTTTAGAAATTTCTGTTAAATTTCTCATCAATGCACTTACTACTTCTCATCATGGTTGGCTGAAGTATGTAATCGTTAAGCATAATGTCAGCTTAAAAGGTTACCATACTGCTTGGTATTCAAATATTAATGTTTAAAACAAAAATTATTTTAGACATTGCTGTGTAAGTAATTTCTCAGTTTGCTTGTGAGTTAATGGTCATGTGGTGATGAAAGCAAAAAATAAAATAGATTCTGTAGTAAAATGAGCTATAAATTTTGATTGAATATTTTAGTTTGAGATGTATGCCAAGCAATAAGGTTATAGAGCCAAATTATGGATTAATGCTAATTAATGTTTGTTTTTTTTACATGGGGTTATTTTATTTAGTACCAAAAGTGAAATTAAGAATTAGGATCCTCCACACATTTTATTAGGAAAAACTGTTAATTGTACATGCTATTTAAGTACATGCTGTTAAGTATATGCTAGAATCTAATTCTTACTTGCTTTTCACAAAAAATTTCTTTGTAAAAAATTTGGTGGTTGGGAGGTCTGGATATTAGATCATTCCGGAAATTGGACATCTGGATTTTGGTCTTTGTACTGTATTAACAATAATTTAGTAGTATGAGTATTATATAATGTAAATGTAAGCTTTTGATAGTTAGAATGTTATATTGTGAATATATGCATGTATGTATTTTACAAAATAAAAAAAAAAATTTACAAGAGAATATACGAGGGCTATCCAGAAAGTAGATTACGTTTTGGAATAAAAAAATAAACAAAGTATAGGAAACAAATTTTATTATATACAGATGAAAGCCACACTCAAATACTACTTTTCTACATAGTCACCATACAAATTAAGGCATTTATCGTAGCGATGTACGAGCTTGGAAATTCCTTCGTCGAAAAATTCGGCCGCCTGCGCCTTCAACCACTTCGTTACCTCTTCTTGCCTTCCATCTTGCACAAAACTTGTGGTAACCAAGCTTTTCGCTGATGATTTCGTGCAACAAACTTCGCGAAATTTGTGGAAAACTCAAAGAAAGTTCCGTTATTGTGAAATTTCGATTTTCACGGACTTTAGCATCGACTTTTTCGAGAAGTTCGGCGGTCACTATGCTGGGTCTCCCACTTCGATCTTCGTCGTGAACATTGGTTCGGCCTTTTGAAATCTTATGACCCACTGACGCACTCCACCTTCAGTGATAATGTTGTCCCCATACACTTCACGAAGCTGCCGATAGATTTCTATCGGTTTACAGTTTTTTTGCAGTCAGAAACCTTATTACTGAGCGCACCTCGCAGCTCGCGGGATTTTCAATTAACGCAGACATTTCAAACCGTCACAGTATCTGAACGGAGCACAGCACGAACCTCTCACTAGCACGGCTAGATGCAGACTGAGCTGCGCAACGCTCTGACCCCAAGATGGTCGCGCTAGCCCCGCCCCTAGCGGACACAGACGGAAACGTAATCTACTTCCTGGATGGCCCTCGTATATATATATTCTTTAGTAAAAATATATATATATATAGTTAAAAATATATATATCTATAGTTACTAGAGAATATATATATATATATATATATATATATATATATATATATATAGTGTTAATGAATCTTGGCTTTTTTTTTTTTTTTTTTTATTTGAGTCACCAGGAAAGATTAAAAATACATATTTAACAAGATGTTAAGTTTTTGTGCCGGTTTTAATAATATTATTATAATTAAAACCTACTCAACCAATTAGGATTGACTTCCACTATAATTTTTATGAAAAAGTTGTTCAAGAGGCGAATTTAAATTTATAAAAGGGAGAATTTTTTGTTTTGTGCTTTGTTTTGGTGGGGGCAATTAGGATTTGTTTTATGCCTTTTTAATGCATCTTTCTAAATAGAAAGGGATGTATAATTTTTAACTATCTTTATTTCTTCTTTATATAAAGCAGCGTAATTTTTTTCCTGAGAAATAGATTGTGTGCAGTTAAAAAATGTAATAATATATTTCTTAAGGCAGTTAATTTCTGAAATTTATACATTATATTAAATTTCTTTTGCATTTGAAGCTTCAGATAGAATTTGAAATCAGAAATATTTCAATTTTTTGGTGAATGTATTTTGGTTGTGCCTTAATGATTTTTTTAAAATTTTAATGCAATAATTATTGTAATTTTTTATATATTTCATGCTGTAATTTTTGCCTCAGATTATAACTTAATTTTGCAAGATATGCTTGGTAAAACATTAAATGATTAAAATTAATTAATTAGCTAATAAAGTTGTGAAATATGATTTAATGATATAAATCTACTTAATAAATTTTATTAATTGCAAAATGTTCTTTATGAATCATTTGGTCATATTTTAACATTTACCTTGAAAATGCTTGTTGTATATACATCTTTTTGCAAACAATTCTAAATAAGCACGACCAGCTGCAATATAATTGTTTTTCTTCAGTTATTTAACTAGACAAATAATTTCTGTGCATTTTTAGTCTTTTATATCTCCTTCCCTTTATAGTTCATCTTGCCCCTTTTCATTTTAACTTCTTTAGCAATCTTCTGTCTTATCCAGATTCTGCCTTTAATAGCCAAGTAAGCTCTTTTATATTCTTTGTCCAAGATATTTTCATACTAGGTGGCTTTGTGTGATAATCAGGTTGGCTGTATGAAGCATCCTGAGAGGTGAGCAGTTTTTTCATTAAGATATATTTTGAATGAGTATGGAGGCAGCATAGCAACTCTCCTTTCCATAGCTCAGAAGAAATATTATTGCTCTTTAATTACTTTCGACTTATTGACTCACCATTTATTTAAAATTTTGCAGATCTTGGCATACTTCTTCCCCTATAAAAAAGTCTTACCAAATGGTGATTTGTCATACTGTATTCACATATTTCAGTTACTCTTAAGAAAAATGAGATTTAAAGAGGCTAAAGTTACTTACCTCCATCTTCAAAATTAATATTTTTCAGGAAGGGGAAGGTATTCAAGAGCAAGAAGAAGATGAGCATATGGAATTCTGTCGCGTATGTAAAGATGGAGGAGAGCTGCTATGTTGCGATAGTTGTCCTTCTGCTTATCACACACACTGCCTCAATCCCCCACTAAAAAATATACCAGATGGAGAGTGGCACTGCCCACGATGCTCGGTAAGACATTGGTTTTGTTTTTTTAAGTCTTCTAATGTTCGTTCCCCAGTGCAAATGGAAGAGTCATTAGTTTTCCCAGGCCTTGAGTATTTTGAAGTGTTTTGGAATGTCTGTTAATAATTACACTAAATTCATTTAAGGTGGTAACTTGCTTTGAAAGTTATTTAAAGGCATCTTTTCAGTATCATTAAATGGCATTCAGTGTTCATAACCATTTTTATAAATTCGATAAAATTCATTAGACTGGTGAAGTTATTAATATCTTCCATGTACATTACTTATATTTTCTATTAGAATTTTTTTTATTCTCTCTGCTGTTTTTTTTTTTTTTTTTTTTGTTGTTGTCTATTTATTGATTTATTTCTTATTTCATTTCACATTTTATTTGTAATTTGCTTGCTCTCTTTGTACTTTAAATATTTTTTTAAAACTACAAATTTTGATATTGATAAAATTTACTGTTATGTGTACTTATTATTGATTTATTTTTTAGTTATTGTTATGGTTAGATTTTTAATTTTTTTTTTTTTTATTTCGTATTATTATTTATTTATTTATTTTTGGCCTTGCACTGCATTTAAATCAAACAAATTGTGTTGTAGCAGGCTTTCATTACAGTTTTTGTTCACTTAATCTTTCTCAAAGCACATTAACTTTTTAATGAATTTTTGACTTAACATTGCCTTGCTTAAAAAAAAAAAAAAAAAAAAAAAAAAAAAAAAAAAAGTCAAAGTGTCTGTTATCAACTATTGGATGATTCCAAATGATTGATAATTACCAAATTTCACACGAAGAAATTTCTTCATGACCTCGTAGCTGCAAAAATATTAAGTACTGTTTTGAGGATCGTTTTTTCAGTTATCTGAGGCAAGAAGAAATGGCATTGTAAAAATATTAATGTATATAAATTTGTGAAAAATAATTTATAGTAATTAAATCTGACTTTTAAGGAAGGGGCTGTAGCGAAAGAAGTAGCTATCAAAAAGAAATTAGAAGATGAAGTAAAGGTATGTGTTTGAATTAGTATATGGAACATTGATAGGTATAGGGTTATAAATTTCATCTTTATCTTATTCTTTAAAAATTTATCTTTTTGCCTCATAAATATATTTAAAGAGAATTCTGGTTCTGGGTTTAATTTTTTTTTTTTTTAAACAAAATTGCATGCTATGTCTTGAATCTTAGACTATCTGTATTATAACTTGAACTGTATTCTGTATATTTTTCTTTTTATTAAAAAAGTACTGTTTTTCTGAGGTAATCTAAAATTTAGTTTTTGCATTTTACAATATTCTATCTTACTGATTTCAAATTTTCTGTGTGCATCATTAATTAAATATTTATATGAAATATATTAATTCAAGCTGAGTGTAATCTTTATTTGGTGTTTAATGAATATCTCCTTTCGCACAGTAAGATATTTGATTAAAAAAGCTTTTATTATTATATTTTTTGATGTCATATTTCATTCTTTGAAATTAATTTTGGTTAAATTTAATTCTTGTTGTAATAATGTATAGGAAAAGAATGATAGAATAATTTAAAAGTAGTTTTGTTTATCATTTTCTCTGTAGTGTAGCACTGCTTTGTTTTCTCTAATACATTTTGAAAAATTATGAGCAAAATAATCAGAAGACTAAAATTCTACCTGAACCTGAAGTCTGTGTTACAATTTCAGATGTAAACATAAAATTTATAGTTAGTAAATCACAAACAAAGCTCTTCCAAATCTTTCTAATCTAAAACCAGAAGTGGATGGCAAATGATATAATGATGAAAGGAAACAGTTATAATAGAAAATATGTTTCATACCTTTGTTGCTTCTGCAGAAGAAAAATATGTATGAAGAAGCTGACTCAGTTAAAACACTGATGTTTCAACCTAGTACAAATGCAGTAGTTCTCTTTTTGATTTGAAATAATACTTTTTGTGGTATCAAAATGCCGAATTCTAAACATTTCCCTGTGAGTGACAGTGTGTGTGGAAGGGGAACATTGAATTGATGATTATAGAAAAGGGTAAAATACAATTGGAAAGCTGCTTTTTTTTTTTTTTTTTTTTTTCCCTTTCTTACAGAATCACATAATATTGTTATCAGAATGCTATTCAGTCCCAAATAATACTATGTTAATACATGATGGTTTTTATGATGTGCACGGAAAGAAAAGTTATATGAAGTTTTTTTTTGGGGGGGGGGCAAAAATATTAGAAATGCCAGAATTTAGAGTTGCAGATCTCTCCACAAAATCGGCGGGTTTAAATTTTGTTTTGTATTTGTGGTGAAGTGGTTGAATGTGTTGTACTGTTTCAGGACCTTTCCTGAGAGTAAGAGCAAAGAAGTTGTCTATTGATTCAAAGAAAAAAAAGAGCTTTGTAATTATAGCTCCGGATGTATGCAAAGATTAGTACAAATTCATACTATTATTGATCAAATTAATGGGAATTTAAATCCAGGCCATATATTTAATAGTGATGAATAACCCATTTGGAAAGAGACTTAAAATCTTTGCAATGTTGATGGACTGATTAATAAAATTTTATTTGCTGTTGGAAGTTTTGTAACCAATCCAGATATAGGTTTTAATTTCTGGTCATATTATAAGCCCATTTTTTTTTCAACTGCCAGTATAAAAGAATCTTAAATGCTGTTACAAATCTAAATTTTTAAAGATAATTCAGGGTGTTGATCCTGTAAGTGCTGATCTGTCATCCTTTAAGTTTTCTGGTTACAAAAATGAAAATTTCAGAATCAAGGATTGCATTTATTTATTTGCTAGGAGAATCGCGGAATTTTGTTTCCAAGTCTTCATTCATAATTGGATGGCTTTAAATGCTTATGCCATTTATTTATGTCAAATAGATTTTGATAATAGTGGATCTTCTGGATTTAGAATGAACTGATAAAGGCTAAATCTAAAGGAATAATTCTTTATGGAAAAGCAAGAAGAGTGTTTCAGTATGACATGAGTTTGATACCAAACGCAGATTTGGGTTTACCAATCCTTTCCTGGATATTTTAATGGCCTTGGAAAAATCTAAAGTATGCCCACTTTTGCTTCCAAGCTGTATGGATTTCTGGTCTTCTACTGTACTTTATTGAAAAGGTTTGCATTCAATTCAGTAGTTTAAATTGTTATTTACAAAGCAATTTAAAATTAACAGTTAAAAAAAAAGTATTTGATTTTCTTTTATTGAACACCACTTATCTTTATTTGTAGTTTAAACTTTTATTGATTAAATTTTTAGATATAATTAGTTATTTCTCAGATTATTATCATCAGTTATTTCTCAGATATAAACAGTTTATTTATCCTTCTGGTAGCATAATTCTCATTTCTGTCCAATAGATAAAAATTTCTGTTGAAAGTATCAATTCAGTTAGGTTGTCAAATATGCTTTTGAGATATAAATAAATTTTTAGTATTTACATCTTGAAAGTAATTTATTTTGATGTACTTTTTTCTTAAAGGCTGAACCATTAAAAGGAAAAGTATCAAAGATCCTAACATGGCGCTGGGCTGAAGTGCCTAAAACTGAAGATGACAAAAAGGATGGAGAGGAAAAAGACGATCCAACTGCACAGCCGTCTACGAGTAAAAAAGCACAACCCAAACCTATGCGAGAGTTTTTTGTTAAGTGGCATGAAATGTCATACTGGCATTGCTCTTGGATTTCTGAAGTTCAGGTAAAGAATTTTCTATAAATATGTTTTATGTTGTTGCCTTTGATTCATTTTATAATATAAAAGATGCTACGTTTTATTGTACTTCGTTTTAAAAATTCACCCAAATTTGGTTCTTAATGTTATGCATGTTTCGAAGATGCATAATACTAAATAGATGATTTGTTGCAATATTATTTTGCTGTGCTGTCTCATGAAATATAAAATGGCATAGTCTCATGAAAAAGTATATGCTATTCTTTGATTTATCACATGCCAATCAATTAATTAACTCGGCAATGGTTTATTTGCAAATTTCTCATAAATAAGCAAACAGATACCATTAGATGTAAGGGAAATGTGATGCAGGTTTCCTCTGATGTTGGTTTGAATGTGGTGGTCCTTGTTATCATGGCTGATGATATTATCATATGGCTCTGATAATCATGAATGGTGCTTGATTCTGGCTAAAGGGCTACGTTCTTGTTAATTCCAAACTATGTAGTTTTCTACCAAAGTGATTATTATATTTCTACTGAAATAAAAATCAATGCTCAATTATCAGACCTCTAAAAGGCCAAAGCATACAGTTAAATATATATATATACATGTATATGTATATGACATTTTTTCCTGTACTGCTTAGTGCATATGAGAATGCAGGAGGATTGTTAAAACTGGTCTGCCAGGAGAGATCTTGGTGAGCTTTGCTTTTGTAGCTTGCTAGATTACATTTTTGAGATTGAGATTAAATTATTTTCCTTTTGTTGTCATAATGCCTAAAGATAACTTTCATTGTAATTTATATAGAAATTTAATAATTAGGGAAAAAGTTTAAACTATGAAATATAAAATAATTAGAATATTCTGCAAGCTTAAGATATGTATATTTTGCCTAAAAGAGTAAAGGTGCAGAGTGATTTCAAACATCTATTTTTGTCGACTAAATAAAAATCTGTTCAAACTAATAATAAAAATCTTTCATTAACAAAATCTCAGCTAAGAGTATGATTGAAGTATTTTCCTAACAGTGAGTAATATGAGGAGGAACAAGAAAAGAAAATGAGTAAATTATAAGAAATTATATACTTCCAAAGATATATATAAAACTGTATTTAAAACATTTTCACATGTTTTAAATATATTGGAATTAAGAAAGTGGCAAACATAAATTTTGAACCCCAGTCCTATGTTATTGCCAATATACTGGACATAGTTACATATCTATAGTTACATATTATTATAGTGCTATTATCAAAATTTAATTGAATTGTTGATATATTTTATCATTTTCAACTCGTAGCTTGACTATTATCATCCTGCTATGTATCGTTGTTATTGTCGAAAAAATGACATGGATGAGCCACCTGCTTTGGATGATGGTAGCAGTATTTTGGATGCTGAGAAAAAAGAAGAACCAGGAAGACGCCCACGGGATAATTTGCAGAATTTAGAGGAACGCTTTTATCGTTACGGGATTCGTCCTGAGTGGTTGCAAGTTCAAAAAATTATAAATCATAGGTATGTTATGATGTTCGAAAAACTTCTTTAGTTCTTGTTTAAAATAAACTTGTATGTTAGTTGGAAAGTGCTTTCAGTTTCAATTAATTTTCTGTTTTAACTGAATTTTTCTAGGACTTCAAAAGATGGAAAAATAAAGTATTTAATCAAATGGCGAGATCTGCCATATGATCAGTCTACATGGGAATATGGTGAAGTGACTGAAGGATTTGAGATTCCAGATTTTCAGAAGGCTGTTAATTTTTACTGGGACTTACGGTAATTTAGATTTTGTCGCTTGTGGTAAATTTTGCCTAAAATATTATGTATGCTTTTGTTGTTCTTGTTTTCAGTTTGCTTTTTTTGTTTCACTCATTTTCAATTATTGTGCAGTGTAAACAGTATAGAAGACATATTTGGTTAATTAAAATAATAAGCTATTTTGTGGGCTGTTCGAGGATGACAGATTCTGTTTAGTATTATTAAAATTTGGGAAACTGTTGTAGCTGGCTGTTTGAGGGTAGATTTGATTTCAAAGGTGCTCGAAATCCTTTAGTGTTACCATAATAAATCATCTACAGTACTAAACTCAATGGCCTCTAATATGGGAGCCCGTAATTTTTCCTTGCGTTGCTTCTTGTCTTCTATATGCTGTTGACTGAAAATATATTTTGCCTCTCTAAAGTAAGGAAATTCTGCGGTATTCTAAGCTTTGTGAGAATTTTCAGAAAAAGAAACTTTACAGTGAATTTGTATAGCATCCTACTGTTAAAACAATACCTAAAAAAGAACATTAGTGACAGAAATTTGCTTCATGAGTCAAAAATTACTTTTTTGATTGTATTTTTATTATTGTCTGTGAGGAATGGTAAAAATCAAGTATGTCAGGAAAAGTTAAAGATTTGGAATAATATGACCATCTCTTAGAATAATCGGAACTACTCTTATATGCGCCCTCAATTCGCCCGAGAAACTCCACGGTGCCATATTACTATCTAAATTTTTTGTCTTTATTTCGAACTTTGAGCCTAAAATGTCTCCAAAAGTGCAGTTTTCGCAAATGCAGAAATCATGTTTTGAACACACAATTTAAGCTTAAAAAAAAAAAAAAAAAAAAAAAAAAAAAAAATTAGATAGCAAAAACGTAAAGTTTCTAACCAAAATTATTTGACAAGAATCCATGTACACAGCTATATGTTTTAACTTAAAAAAACATCTACGGATTGCACAATCTAGGCAGCGAATGAATCTACTAACGATGCTCACCTCGCTTTAATAAATTAACAAAACAATAAATTTCAAAGAATACCATGTACACACCATTCTGTTCAACTTAAAAAAACATCTACGAATTGCACAATCTAGGCACTACGCACTAATCAACAAAATGAACTAAAATAAATTTCAAACAATTCAAAAAAACAACAATAACGACAGAAATTCATACTAAAAAACAATGAATATACATTCTACAAATAAGAATAAAATAAAATGCGCTTACCATGAATGAATGCTTTTTTGAACAGCAGAAATACCAATTTTGTGTTGCCTTTAACATGCCACCACGTAATCACTATCGTATTTATATGACAGCCAGACACACTATACAGAAAATTCATATTATGGTTCACAAATAAATGTTCAAAATCTTCTTTGCCTAAATCCTTGCAAGATTTCCAGCCATCCGGAAAACTAGTTGTACAAGGCTCAGTCCACTCTTTAATACACTGCATCAGTGTTTCCTTACTTCTATCAGGCACAGCCACTAAAAATAATCTCCCAGACCCTCTTGCAGCCGCGTCTCTCATTGCAACATAGGCCATTTCAAAACACGCACGACACGAACCAACTAGCAATTAAAATACTCCAGCAAAAAGTATTCATTGCCATACAACACGCAATCACGGCAAAAACCAGCGCAGAACACATATCGCTACATTTGGTGATCTTAGGGCACATATAAGAGTAGAGCCGAATAATCTTATGAGAAATGTTTTCTCAAAACTTTCTGTCAGACGTGTTTAAAGCTAAATTGAAGAACTGCTAAAATTATTATATATATGTGTAAAATCCCATCGACCAGGAAGGTTGGCACAAATTCTGCCAATCGTTTCATGTTGTTCCCCAGTGCATATTTAATGGGAATTAAAAGAAGAAATTAATTTTAAAAATGTTGAAATTAATGAAGAACATAAAGTTTTAAAAAATTACACAGTTTTATTTTCAAAAATAACTAAACTGATAAAGGTACTTTAAATTGATTATTTTAACCAAAAAAAAAAAAAATATTATTTTAATGAAAACCTAAAAAGAATAACATTATACTCCCTAATGGCATTCAAAATCACTACAAATAAGTATTCTCATTACGAAGATGATGCCAAATAAATTTGCATAAATACAAGTCTTAAGTGCTGTTGTGGAATTCTGTGACACTTTTTGTTTTGCCGTTTTCCTGATTCCCATAATCTTTCATTGTTCTGTGTGGGCACTAGTATCTGGTTCTACAAAATTACAACTGTGATTGACCTTGAAATGCTCAAAGTTAGCAGCTCTTAATTCCTCAATCTTGTATACCTCCCATGAGTCAGAAAACATAATAGATCCTTTTTCATTATTTTAAATTGCTTGTAAGAGAGTGGATGCCGTTCTATCAGGATTTCTTACAATAAAACAATTGTTCTCTCAACATATTTCTCCAAACATCCATTGCTCAGGAAGTATTCTGCATACTTGGTTTTTGCATTTAGTGATAAGCTTTTCATTGATTTCTACTACTTTAGGCTCTCAAATTTTTTCATTGATCTTGACAAAAGGCTGTCTGCAAACTTCTTTTAGATAATTGTTCCAATATATCACTGTCTTGTTATTCAAATCGAATTGTTCTGTTCCCCATTCCACAGTTGTTAACTCTTTGCACCAACAGTAAATGAGTTTGAATGCAGTCAAAAAAGCAATATTGGAACTCTTCAACCAAATTTCTTTTCAAATGGATACTCACTTGTCACAATTTTTAACATTACAATGGCATTGTATGTCTGACCTCAAGTAAAGTTTCATATTGGGTTCGTCGACACATTTTTTTCTTTTTTTATGCCAGAAACCTGTAACTATGAAAATACTCAATCGCATTCTGTAGTAGGTAGATCCCAAATTTTTATAATTTTTTTGCTGTAAAAGCAGATAAATAGTTGTTAGAACTGAACTCTTGTTTAAAGAAACATAAATGGTTTGTCAAAGTATGTATTTGGTATATAGTTTTCCGTTGTTGGTGAAAAATCGTATTTGTAACGATTTTTTTGTTTTTGTGAAAATGATCGATACTTTTCCATTGTTGGCAAAAAATCATGTTGCTTGGCACTATTTGTTTTTCACAAAAATGGTTTATGGAATTTTTTACACATGTATCAAATATTGAAATCAATGAGAATTTTTTTATATGTAGGAAAAATAGTGCAATATGGAAGCTGATGAAATTGTTGTGAATCTATTTTTGCAGCAAACTCCATAATTATGGTTGTCAGATTTACTTTTGTTTAGATTGCTGCTCTTTTGATGAGATTTTAGTTATATGGTTATCTCAAAGATCTGCAAGTAGCTTTTAAAACAATTCTGGATACACTTAAGTGTTTCTTAGTCTGTACTTTGTAACCCCATGCAGCTATAATTTAAAATTGTACTAAATTATGTGTCTTTCATTATTGAATTAGAGGTTTTAAAATGTTTTGGGGATTAAAAGTGTCATAAATATAAATTTTATGTCAGTTACAAGTGCTATATTAGTGATTTCCCGAAAGCTGCCTTGTATAAAATTTTTATATAAATATGACTGTTTAAAAAAAAAATAGCAATAACATGAGAAAAGCATATTGTATTTTCTAACTCTTACATTTGAACAGTAGTGTGGTATAAAAGGCAGTTTATTGTTCAGTATTTTGAAAGCAACTAAGGTAATTTTACTGCAGTACATAAAAGAGTCGTGAAACTTGACTGGTGATTGTGAGAAAGGCTAGATGAATAAACAGCACATTTGGTTTTTAAATTGCAATTTGTTTTATTGCATAATTTTCTTACAATTTATATCTATCTATCTATCTATCTATATACATATATGTGTGTGTGTGTGTAGTAATAAATTCGTTCAAAGAGAGAATCTAATAGAACCATTCACTAATTTTCATGGCTGGAGTGGCAGGGACAATGCTAGCAGATAGCTTGACTGTGTGGCATAGTAAATAACCGGAACTCTTTTGAAGAATCACAAAATTACTTAATAATCTGACATCTCGTTATTACATGTCGATTCTTACCAACATCTGTATAACAATGTATTTCAGCAATCTGTGCTCAACAGTTTTTAACTGTGCAGCTAGATTTTTTTTAAAATAACAGAGAAATAGAGCTTAGCAAAAAGACAATTTATCAGGACAGTGCGAGTGGTGAAAGAGTGATGCATAATAGTTGCAATAGTGTTTATATGCTCAAAGAGTCTTTGTTTTAATCCTGAGCAACAGTTGGACAAAAGGAAGGCTACAGCAATGCAAATACTGCAGGGAAAGAGTGCAGTATGCATCTTTGAAGAGAGGATGTACTTGAAATTAGAAATTCAGAGGTCTATTCCAAATTTGTTCCAATTAGGTTTAATTTATTAATAAATTTTCATCATACTTTTAAATCTGAAATATATGTAAGTTATAAAAATATGACAGATTACATAGATATAAAAATAATAAAAATTTAAGAATAAATTTGCAGTAGAGTTCTATATTTCTAATTTTCAATTGATGTCCCCTCTTCAAGGATGTGTACTGCATCACTCTATATGACAGAAATTTATTAATAAATTAAACTTAATTGGAACAAATTCACAATAGACTTTTAAATTTCTAATTTTTACTTGAAATACATCCCCTCTTCAACGATGCATACAGCACCATTATATGTCACTCTTTCACTGAAGTATCTTTCTGCATTGTTGTAGACCAGTTGCTCGTCAGGATTAAAACAAGGACTCGCCGAGCTTGTAAATACTGCTGTAAATTACACATTGCTCTTTTGTCATTTGCACTGTCCTGATAAATCTCATCTCTTGTCTAATCTCTATTTCTGTGTTATTTTAAAAAATATAATTGCATAGTTTAAAACTGTGGAGTGCAGATTATCCCAAAGTGCTGTGAACTTACAAATAATATAGAGACATTAGATTATCGAGTAATTTTATGAATTTTCAAGAGTTCGCATATACATAATCAATACTTCAATGATCTAACTTCAGTCCACTCACGACTGCTTAATAATTGGTGTCTTCCTGTGTCAAGCACTCATTTTATATCAAATTATTTGCAACAAAACAAAATTGAACAACTCGCACATAATTTTGATTTTTCTGTTTTGTGTTAAGTCCAATTCATTTTGCAAGTTAAAGAAAGTATTGTTGTGGTCTGTTTTAATTGGATGTTTAATTTGATGTTTGTTAGATTATTGCAAAGCTCACTAGGGCTATTAACCTAAGGGAACAATGCTTTTTTGGCACTAGATTGTATTCATATTACACTTGGAGGAAATCACAAAATTATTGAGCTATTGTTTAATTATGTCTTTGCAATTAAAGTACTAATAACAGTTGATGAACGCAATTTTTTTTTCTTGCATTTTGTTTACAGGAATGCTGTTGAAAATGCTAATAAGAAGTTTGGGAAGAGTAAGAGTAGCAAAGGAAAAAAATCAAGGGATGTCAGAGATGATGATGGCAGGCATATGACACCACCACCAGATAAACCAACAGTTGATGTGAGTAAAAATTAAAACCGATTCATGTGAAACATCTGTTGCATTTTTCCATAGTGTATTTTTGTTAATATTTAAGGTAATGTTCTAATAACTCTTTGATAAAATGCAAATTTCTTTGGCTTTTGCAACATAATAATTTGTAGATTAAGTTAAATTTCAAACATGTGACACTTTAAAGCTGAGATATTAAGTTTATTGTTGTGAATTTTGAATTAGTTTTAATCATTCATTCATGAATTTTTTTTATGTGTCTGTTTTTTGGCTTCGATTCTTATGCTTGTAAATTTAAAAGGTATGTAATAAATTTATTTCGAATTTTATGTAGAGCTATCTATCTATCTATATATATAAATGATAGTGTACAGTGGACTTTTAAACTTCAAACATGTTCCTGCATTAGTTTGACTCTCAAATTAAATTTCTGTGTAGGGAGTATTGTAAATTAATCAGATGCATCTTTCAGATTTACCCAATACATTCTCATTAAAATTGATGAATTTAACCCTTGACTTCGCCTTTTCTATATTTTCGCCATCAAGTGAGTGGTGGGGTTGCATCCTAATTAATTACCGTCTGTTAATGGCTTTAGAGCATAAAATTGAACTATCTGTTAAAACTTCTATGTAATTGTATGCCAGTATTGAAAGAAACAATCAATCTGATAAGAAATGTAGTGACTTGTTTTGAAAATGTGAAAGGTAAAGGTTTCCAGCGAGGATATTTCGTTTGACATCAGTTGTACCATTACTGGTGACTTTATCGCTTGCGCCGCAAAACAGGAAAGTACAGTTTTCTTAAATATTGCATTGTAACATTTTACTTCTGTTCACAACTGCAATTTTGGAATGTAATTTTTCTGCAAAGCAGGTCTCTACCGGAAAGTCTTTGACTCTTATCGCATCAATTCTTAATGTTAGTGCCAAGGAAGCATTTCTTATTGTCTTTTCTTCTGTACTTTATAATATCTGTGATTCCACAACATACAAGGCTCGGTTTGGTTTATTTGATTATGGTAAAGCGCTTTAGGGCTATCTGCCTAAGGGGAGGGATGACTTTCTTACTTAAATTGCCTTGTATACATGTTACACATGGAGAAAAACATGAAAACGCCCATGGAGGTAGCCCGTTTTCTGGTATTCGAACACCTGATTGGACTATCAGTATTCAGCGACTTTGCCGCTCACCCTCTGGTGGGCACTGCAGTACACAAAACCAAGTGGCAAATAAAGTGACTGCATGATTCTTCATTTGAGTTTTGAAATTTTGTTTGTGTTTTTGTCATCTTCATCAGTATAATGGTTAGCTGCATTGGCTACCTTATTATTGGGTCTAAGTTTGAATCCCGGAGAAGGCATGGATGTTTGTAAGTGTATAGTAACTGTGCTGCATGGGGACATTTTAAATGGAAATCCTCTTGAGTGGTTTATTGATGGGGAAAGAGAGGTAGTAGAAGATCAGGTCCATCCCTCGAGCTGTTCTCCATCAAACTTGTGACAAAGCTGCTCAGTTAGTGCATTGAGAATACCACCTGTACAACCCAATGGTAAATTCTTGTGTTCTGCCTACCTCTACCTGTTCTTGTTTCAATCTGAGTTTTGGATTTTTTGTTTAGATTAAATATTAAATTATTTGAAGTTTGAAGGCCCATTATGTTGCTGTGTAATACTTGCTTTTTTGTATTATAAAAATTTAAGTGTTAAAAGTTTTTTGTTAAAAGTTTATATAAAACTGTTGTATATATAAATTTTGTTTTAGTATGAAATCATTGGTATGCATTAACTTAACTAATTTTTAATTTTGTATTTACTCTTGCATTACTGCAGGAGGAAGTAATTAAGACACAGGTAAATGCACTTTTTCACATATGTTTATGTTGTTAAACATGGCGTTGTTTATTTAAAAGCTGTTATATAATATTTGCTTAAAAAACTATTTTTTAACTTGTTTTATTGTTGAAAGTTATTAGTTATAAGTTGTGGAAAAATTTATTTCTTTCTTAGAATTAATCTTGATGAAACAAATGCAGCAGTCTATGTCACTCTTTACTATGACTTGTATATAATTAGCATTAGATGACAGGATCTTTCTGAAAATTCTCTGCAAAAAAAATTTTCAAATTCATTTTAATTCTCCCCATAAAATATTTAGCTTTTAAACTGTAATGGAAAAATGCTTCTGTTTAGATATAAAACCTTAAATTGCCATTAAAATTCTTTTGGTACTTATAATTACATATATAATTAAATATAGCATTATGAATAATTGTAATATAATTAAATATAGCATTATGAATAATTGTAATATAATTAAATATAGCATTATTAACAATTGAATTACATGTATGGAATTAAAACTGAGCACCCTTAATTTTATGGAAGCTCTGTGTACAGTAGTGTATAGAAGGCTCCTGATTAACTGGGGTAATATTGAAAGGGCCATTCTTAGTTAACTCTAATTAGCAATTAGTCCAACAACACTTAAAAAAACACAGATAAATAACCTATATTACAATTAGCAGGAAATACTATTAACAATTTACCTTCATTTTTAAGCAATTTAGTTTGAAGAATAAGTTTACTTGTTTATGTAAATTAGATCAGCAAAGAATAAGTTCACTTGTTTATGTAAATTAGATCAGCATTCAAAACAAGAGCATACTTCAGAACAGAAAGGACACTGATTTTTTTTATAGACCAGGAAACAGAAAATTAATAACTGTACACTTTATTTATTTTTGTGATTTAGCAGTTTATTTTTAATCGATGATTTAACAATAGATTTCCAGAATATGTACACTAAATTTACATACTGTTGTAGGTAAAATCAATTCCTCAACACTATGACATTATTTGCTATTATGCTTTGCATCATTTTCTATCATTGCTATTATCACATGCATTTTTCCCCTTTTTGAATTTCCAGTAAGAAATTCTGATGGTTTGTCGTAGTAATTTTTTTTCTCATTCAATAAACAAACGTAGCATTTTTTTAAGGACAAAGCCCAGTTAATCCACATCCAACCCCCTGTTTATTTGGGAGTTGATTTTATCTGTTCTCTCTGTTTTGACAAATGCAGGTTTGAAAATATTACTGGTATTTTTTTGCTCTCCAGCTGTGTGAGAAGTGTACAGATCCTTTTTTTACTTTTTAAGTAGTATTAATACAGTGCCTGCCACTTATTATGTTCAATTTTCCAGGAACAAGAATGAATATATACCGTAATTTCCGGAAGAAAGGCCGCATCAGCGTAAACGCCGCACTCGAGAAAAATGGCGGGGAAAAAATTAAAATTACACAGAAATGCTGCATCAGCGTAAACACCGCAATAGATTAAATTGCGCGTGACACCATCGTGGGCCGTATAGATGCAAAAACTCAACCTAAGTCCTGATATATGACATACCATCTCCCTTCGGAATAGTATTTCGTTTAAAAATGGTCATCGGCTTTAGCTTGTCACCGTTTGCAGCACAAGCTAACACACATGTAAATGACGTTCTTTCATGCCCCGTCATAAACATAGATACAGTTTTTGCACCAGTTTCATCAACAGTTCTGTTTGCAGGAGAGTCGAAAGCTAATGGCGTTTCATCCATATTTATTATCTGCGACCGAAAAAGTTTTTTTTTTTTTTTTTTTTTGTCAATAATAGCTGTCACACATTTTAGAAAAGATGACTTTTTATCCTGCCAGTCCATTGGTAATTGTTGCCTGACTGTTGTTCTAGTACGCACAGAAATATTTTTCTTTTCATAAATCTGCTACACCTCCTTTGAAATCATTTATGTTCATTCATTTTGCTATAAATTTTGCTTGTAAGCGAATTTTTACAGTCGAAATTGCCATTCCCTTTCCTCATTGCACGTTTGCAAGGTCGTCCTCTAGATTTGTCCACCTTACAGTACCACTTCGTTTGGCTCGTTTCTGTTGTAGCATATTTTTAGGAAGTTCTTTTTCAGTTCTCCAACATTGAATACATCTGTCGTCCACTTCAAACTCTCGAGCTGCTGCCCTATTTCCAATTTGTTCAGCACGTGAAATTACATTAAGCTTAAAACCAGCAGTATAGCTTCTGTGCCGTTTAGGGACATTTTCAGAAATTTTCCACTCCCTTCTTACTTAAAAACTATCCAACAAGTACTTGTACCGAAACTGATGGGATCTGTATCTGGCAGAATGCCAAGAAAAATCCATTCATGCTGAAAGGGAAATACGTCAGAGTACGTTATTGCGAGGCAGGTGGAGTTGTGTCCGCGTTTGAAAAAAATTGCAGAAAAGGCAGGGGCGGGGAGAGGATGGGTCCTGGAAGATTCATCGAATGGCAGAGGAGAGAGACTATTCGAACTGATGAAATTGTTGATTTGAAAGGGGGAAGAATGTTATTGTTCTGAGATCTCGTTTAGGGTGAATAAGGCATGTAGGTCTGTTCAAGAGAAAGAATGTAAACAAAATAACGTTCGCAAAAAGCAACTGAGTGGTCTTTTGTGTGTGAACAGCACCAGTCTATGCACAATGACAAGGCCATCCAAACTATGTACAATGACCATCATAAGAAATATTTTATTTTTAGTGCACCTAAACGCCGCACATGCTGAAAATTGAAGTTTTAAACACGTAAACACCGCAGCGTTTCTTCTGGAAATTACGGTACTAATCAATAGAAAAAACTGCCATTTACTAAGCTCAAACTGGCAGAAGTCTGATTTTTCAGATCTGGAATAAATTGTTTGTGGTTGAGAAAAGCTGTTTGTAGTTTATTCATTTATCTTTCATTATGTAGTACTTATGTAAAATAGGTGTGGCAGAAATTTCAGCTGTGTGGTTAAAACCAAAACCCTTGGGGGTCTTGGATAGATTCCCTAGTTCCTGTCAGACACTGTTTTCAGATCTCTTTGTCCAGACTAGAGCTGAGAGTGACAGAATACTTTTATCTTATGATTAACAAAAGCAGTCTTTTGAGGCATTGGAAACAAGTTCTTTGATTATAAATGAATGTTTCACATGATTCAAGAATAAGTGTTTAAATGAACACTGGTTTAGTCAAACACCAGGTGATAGGGAATAGACATGCATATGCATATTAATTTTGCAAGATATTCTTAGAAAACATCACGATGTGCTTCCTTGGCTTATCGTACATTATCAGTCTATATAGAAAATAGAAGAAGTCATTCTAGGCTGAAGAAAAAGAAAGCATTGATATGCTTATATTTAATGAAGCAGCAAGTTGAATTAACAGATAAAGGTGTAGTTTTCCTGCTGGCAAGGAATGGGAATTTCGGATTTTGACTTTTTTGATGGGGCTGTGTGCATGACTTGTAACATGTCACAAATGTCTAAAAGAAATTATTTAAGCCTGAGATATGTGTGGTAAATGCAGCCGAAGAGAAGCAGCTTTTAAAATCAGGATTTCCCCAATAGCATTGTGCAGTTTACTTAACCGTTTGACTGTCATGCATTGCAAAAGCGCTGCGTTCATTTGTCTCAAAAACCGCGAGTGTCTTCGTTGCTCCCCGTGGGTGTGAATGTAGTCTGACCTCACGCATACTTTGTAACATGAGGGCATTCTAAAATAACTAACTGTGTCGCGGTTTTCGAGACAAATGAACGCAGCGCTTTTGTGCCGCGTTGCAATCAAACAGTGAAACAAAGAAACAAAATTGATGAAGAACTGGTAAAAAATGTAAATGTCTCAAGGAAGTGCAAAAGGGATCTAAAATTAAGAGACTGAAACATTCTTCTAGGATGGTTTCAAGCTATGATACTAAAAAATATTCCAATTTCTAGAGCTCTTTTGACTGCAAAAGCTCTAGAATTCACTTAAAATGCTAGGAGAAAATTTTGTACCAACTGATGGGATAGATGGAAATAGAGAAGTAACATCATTTATCGGAAACTGCATGGTGAGAAGTAGGGGGCAGATCATCAGTCGGCTGAGAGATGGCGAAAAGACATTTTACCCCACTTTTTAGAAGAAAACAAACCACATGAAATTTATAACACAGATGAAAATGGTCTGCTTTACAGTGCATTACCGGAGCATACATTATTGTGCAAATGTAAAACAGCTGCTGGTTTTAAAGAAACTAAAAAGAATGAGGTATTATTTTATTGACATGCAATGTGGGGGTGCAAGAATTAAAAAGATACTGACACTGGTTATTGGAAAGAATAGGAAAACTTGACGCTTAAGAGCAGTAAAGAATGTACTTTTAATTTCATAATGACAAGAATTCTTAGATGACAAGCAGTGTTTTTACGGATTTCCTTTTGAAGAAAGGCAACTGAAAAACTAACTTTACTGTCAGATAACTGTGCTTCACACCCCTGATATCATTCTGAAAAAACATTAAATAAGTTTTCCTTTCTGCAAATACAATTTATTATTCAACCATTAGACCAAGGTATCGTAAAATCGTAAAAGCTTTCAACTGTAATTACAAAGAAAGTGTCATTAAAAAAAAAAAAAAAAAAAAAAAAAAAAAAAAAAAAAAAATTAGTCTTATGAAAGTGTAAGTAATTCAAAGGAGATAATTAAGTCTATTTTTGCTAGTAACTAAATCTATTGCATATTATAGTAAATCTATTGCTAGAGGCTGTGCATATTATAGTCAACACATGCAAAGCAATCTTCCAAAACACAACGAGAATTTTCTGTAGAAAATGTGGTTTTTATTTAGAAGAATTCATTTCAGACATCAGTGAGAGAGAAAATGAAGATTTGTTTTTAGGATGCATCGCAATTGATGATAATATTGCTATGGCATGTGAAAACGCCTGTATTATAGAAAGTGTTAAAAGAGCTGCAGAAACTGAAAGGGATCAGACAAAAGTGACTATGTGCGAGCCTCTGCTGAATCGAGAAAATACTTCAAACTCTAAGAACAATTCTTAAATTGAAGGGTGGCGACCAGGAAAACTGTCAACTTTTTTATGAATTTGAAAATACGATTGAAAGACTGCTGACAAATAATGCAAAACAGATAGGGATACAGCAGTTCATTGTAAAAATTTAAAATTTCGTCTCGTATGTAATTATAAAATTTTTTTTACAACAAAGCAACAAGGGAAAATAATTCTGAGTATCATGAATAGTTTAATTTTAGCATTAAGTTTTAATTAATAATTTAGATATTAATTATTATATTAATTGTTAGTTACTAACTTATTAATAAAGTTCAGAGTTGATACCATAATTTACAATATTGAAATTACCGTTTATTAAACTCAGTTGCTTACTAAATTCAACTATATGCTTAGAGCAGAAATAATTTTAGTAAGTGGCGGGGTATGTATATTTATCATTTCAAAGATCTTTAATTTTATTAACTATCTTAATTTTTTTTTTCATTGTTTGGTTTAACAATCTGAAAATCTACATTAAATTGATTAGAATTTAGAAGACAAACACAGATAATATTATTACAAACTATATATTATTATTGACAGACTGTGTACTAAACACAATGTAGGCTTTAACAATTTAAACACAATGAATGCTTTTATTATTAATATTATTACAGCCTAAGTATTAAATTATTATGTTATTACAGATTATATGTTATTAATATTATGTTATTATTGCAGACTATGTATTATTGTTGTTATTACAGTATTATCGTATTAATAATATTATTACAGACTATTTATTATTAATATTACTGACAGCTTGTATACTAAACACACAGTATAGGCATTTGAGTGAAATATCTCTAATAATATTTTATGTATTATATTGTTATTAATTTTAATGGAAATTTTAAAAAGTTCAGTGAATAAATAAAAATGCAAAAAAGATTTAAATATTTCTAGTTTCTTTTCCAGTCTTACAAAAAGATAATTTTTGTGCATTATTATACTTTAGCCCAAGAAAAAATATGACCGGCAGCCACCTTTTGTTGATGCAACTGGAAATGAGCTTCACCCTTATCAGTTAGAAGGTGTGAACTGGTTGAGGTTCTCATGGGCTAATGGTACAGATACCATATTAGCTGATGAAATGGGTCTTGGAAAAACTATTCAAACAATTGTATTCTTGTATTCTCTATATAAAGAGGTAAGGAAATGAATCTTCTTATATTTTTCTTAAAACCTTGCAGTATTTACTTGAAGGCATAATTCTGAGTAGAAATTTTATTGCTTTGGAAATTATCTTTTATCAAAATAGTTTTATCACAAATTCAGCAAAAATTTTTAAATAACATTGAAATTTAAATTAAACTTCAATACATTATACTGTAATTATATGAAATTTTGCTTATTTTTATAAATGCCAGGAAATTTTATAAATACAAAGTCTGAAATCCGGACTCGTCGGGATTTCGGCGATTCCGGATTTTGGATTTTTCAGGATATTATATCATCAATTTAAATCTGGTAAGATGGCATGCAGAAATTATACAATTAAAAATATAAAATCATAATTTAGTAAATAAAGAACAATTATGATCTAAAGGGTATCAAAATTTACACACACAAAAAAAAAACTTAATATTTATTTGTTTACTTTATTGAACATTTCTTTCAATATAAGTTGTTTAAGTTGCTTCCAGAAAAAATTCAAAAAGTTAATTTTTCATTTTTCTTATGTCATATACAGCTGACTTTCCAATGCCATACTCCTCCCGTAATTTTGAGACTGATATGCCTTTATCCATTTTTTGCAGCAATTCCACTTTTTGTTTAATGGACATCGAAACACTTTGTAGTTCCTTTGGCAGCTCCAGAATTGGAAACTCATTTTGACATAATCGAAAGTTCAAGCTTAGTTTTTATAAAATTGCCCCATTAATAACAGTCTGCAAAAAATAATAAGCTGTATCAAACCAGAAGATTAGGGAACAGTGCAGTGCGCTACATTAACTGAAATACCTTAGAATCAGTAAAGATAATTTTAGCGTAGCTTTAATAGCGTCCGTTATACATTATTAGCTATGTATCACAAGATTGGTGACGAAAGCCAAGTTGTTTCGCTAAATTTTGTCTTTCTCCTGTTGCGTACTGAATTAAGCCTCAGTTGTATTAATTTAGTTATTTACTATACCTGCGTTTATTTCTTGCACATGCTTAAAACTAATCCGAATCCTGAATAAATAAACTCCAACATATACTTAATGCTTTATCTAGGGCCAGTGCTAAATACCACCTGTTGCAGTCTCTACGGGTCCTAAATTCTGCTACAAAGCGCTTTCCTAAGTTCTAAATTCCCTTAATCATAAACTTCTCATCCTTTAATTTTGCCACTCGGTGCTTCCCCAAATTCCAAAAATGTCGCCTTCCCTAAATTCTGCTGTCCGGTGCCGATTCTGCCGCCGCTTCTGGTTTTATGGTGAATAACATGTCAGTTATTCTTAATTGGAATAGCACTAAATGTAATCTTTTGGCCTATGAGTTTCATTAACAAAATCTATATTAAGCGTATGAAAAGAAATTTTTGTTGAATTTTCCCCCGTCAACATTTCTTAGAGCATTTAAAAATCTGTAATCTTCGCCATGCGTAATATTAGAATAAGAGGCTGCCATACTCTTTTTATTCACTTACTAATATAAAAAAAAAAGTTTAGACATCACTGCATGAGTTATTACTGAAGCTGTCATGTATTGATAAATATGCGGTGATGAAAGCAAAATACAGTCAAAAGTCGTTAATCCGGACTCATCGGGACTTCAGCAATTCCGGATTATAGATCATCAGTTTAAATCTGGTAAGATGGCATGCAGAAATTATAAAATTAAAAATATGAAACTGTAATTTATGAAATAAGGAACAATTATGATCTAAAGAGTATCAAAATTTACAAAAAAAAAAAAAAAAAAAAGCTTAATATTTATTTGTTTATTTTATTAAACATTTCTTTCAGTGTAAGTTGTTTAAGTTGCTTCGTTTTTTATGTGATAATACATTCTCTTTAATTCTATAAACAGACATAATTTCTTGTTCAGTTACAAAGTTCCGCTGTTCAAGTCCTATAATTGCTGTGTCGAGAATACCGACTAATTCGTCAATCGAAATTTTTTCATTTTCAATAACCTCTGTTACTTTCTTCGCTATCGGAAGCGAATTATAATGACGAGGAATTTGATTTAAATCATATCAAAGACAGAGTACATCGAGATGAAATACTACATTTAGTAAGGAATTATAAGCCAAATAAAATAAAAACATCTGCTCTGAAGATAAGGATAGTGCTGACAGATCAACTTCCAATTCATTGCTGCGCCACAGTGTTAAAGATAAACAAAGTTTGGATAAACAAACGTTAAAGTTTAGATAAACAAAGGATATACCTTTATCCATTTTTTGCAGCAATTCCACTTTTTGTTTAATGGACTTCAAAACATACTTTCGCTTTGTAGATCCTTTACATATTAGATTAGTAAATATATATCAGAAATTCTATTTGACGTAATCGAAAGTTCAAGCTTCCTTATATAAAATTGCTCTAACAGTCTGCAAAAAATAATAAGCCGAATTCAATTCGAAGATTAAGGAACAACGCAATCTGTAACATTAACTGAATTAGATAATTTTAGCTTAGCTGAAACTGTCCCTTATACATTAAACGTGCATTCGTAAACGTATTTTGCGCACGCGCACACGCATATTTGTAGCTTTGAGGTCCGGATTATAGATCATTCCAGATTATGGGTATCCGAATTAATGACTTTTGACTGTATAATAAATAATAACTCGCCAGGTCAGCGTCAGGGATATAAAATAGGTGAATGTGCTAAACTGTTCATTTCCTTTCATGAGTAATTGCACTTTGACATAATTATTAATAGGTTTGAAGAAGAAAATTGGATTCACCAGTTTCTCCTTTGAGATTTCCAGATGCTGTTTTGAGAAGGTGGTTCCCCCCTCCCCCCATATAAAAAAAAGTATTTGGTATTTGTCAAATAATGAATTAAATTCTTCCAAGCCAAAACATTGAAATACTTTTTTTTTTTTTTTTTTTTTTTTTGTAAAACTATAAAAGTAGCATAAAGAAATACTGTTTTCAGAAAAATAAATAAATAAATAAATAAATAAAAGTACTTAAGTATTAGCGGAAGCCATTCACATAACAGTTCTTCAACATGTGATGTTGCCATTTTTGTACATGTTCTTTTTGTTGTGTTTCAAGTTCCAGTGGTTTTTATAGACAAATCAGAATCTTGATTGTCTTAAATTCAATTTAGAAAAATATGTTTGTGAGAATTTTTGCAGAGGAAGAATCTGCAGTAAAATTTGTGTAGAAATATAGATGGAAAATTGCTAAAGGAAAAAAGTTGTTTTCAATCTAACAGCAGTCATTATGGTTTCCAGAAGAAAATAGACTTATTTTTAACTGAAATTTACTAATTGTAAGCAGGTAATACATAATTATTTGTGATTATGGATCATTCTTCTAAAAAAATGACGAAATTGTGTCAAGGTAAATGTATATTTTGCCACTGTTGATCCATCAACAGAAGATCATATAGTGGAAATAAAGCTTTATGGAATAGATGCTGTTCCAAAGTTTTGCTGTTTGATCTTGTGACAGCTATTTCATTTATTTACTTCTAGTGTCAAGAACTCGTGTTGGTACAATTTTATCAAGAGCAATTAAGAATCACTGTGCAGTTGTTTAGAATAAGTTCATTTATCTTCATTTTTTAGATTGATTCTGAATTTAACAAAATAACCACCCTTTTATGAGGTTATATATAGCATTAAGTTTACTACTGCCATCTATAGTTACATTTTGCAACAACATTTAAATTGGTGGGGTTACATCTTATTAACTGAAGAATATTAAATTAGCAGTCTTACATTTGAAGATTCTCAGTTTATTATAGAATATATGACGTTTTTGAAAATAATTTGTGGTAAATGCCCAAAATTTTTTTGTCCGGGTTAGTCTGGCGGAGTATGATATGTAATAGAGTTCAGAATTTTGCCATTGTTAGTGTGTGATGTTGAGATACTTTTAGCATAATAAAAATGGGACATTTATTCATAAATTGAGGTCCATCTTGAATTGTATTGAAATTGTCTCGTCAACTACTACTTCTAATAGTGCTTTAAATATCCCCATTATATAAATATCTTGACCGTCAGCTGGACATTGTCGGATAATTGGTGTAATTTATTTAGTGTATTTTTTTGGTATTGGAGTCTTAAAAAATTTATAGTTAAATTTTTAAATTGAATGTTTATTAGAATTATTTTTAGTTGTTATGCTGTGTAGTAATTGAGAAATAAGTGCTAAATTTGAGGAATATTTTCTTAAAATTGCTTTGAAGCTGTTTGCTAAGCCATCATTCACTTTAATTTTAAACTATACCATATTTTAATTTTTGAATGCATTGTCTTTTAATTTGTTTCTCTAAATTTATTTATCCATACATTATTTGAAAAAAAAAGGAATTTTTCTTTCTCTGTCAGGGTCATTGCAGAGGTCCTTTTTTAGTTAGTGCCCCATTGTCAACAATAATAAATTGGGAAAGAGAATTTGAAACTTGGGCTCCTGATTTTTATGTTGTCACTTATATTGGTGACAAAGATAGCAGAGCTGTGATTCGAGAGCATGAATTTTCTTTTGATGAAGGTGCAGTGCGTGGTGGAAAAGTAGGAGGAAAAGTAGCTAGAATAAGAGTAAGTTTCATGTGCTTATTTTTATTCAGTATTTTAGTGTTTGAGATAAAGTAATTGTAAAATTTAATGATTTTATAAAATGTTAAATATTTATGATGTTTTCCTTTCTATCTTCTTTCTGTTGGTTCAGGCTGGAAATTAAGATTTTGATAAATTTTTAATGGCACTGTTATTTTAATCATTCACTGTTTCAGCTTTTGAATGTATAATTTTTAGCACCACAGGTGATATTAATCTCGAAACTCATTTTTTGTCTGCATCACTTTGGGGCCAATTTTTTTTTTTTTTTTTTTTTTTTTCAGATTGCTGCCACCAAATGTTATTACCATGTATTTATTTTTTTAAAAAAATGAGTCTTATCTATCTATGTATGTATATATGTTCCTCAGACTGAATAAAATGATGATTCCTTGCCAACAAATTTTTAATACATTTAGTCTCAGGCATGAAAGTTTTTCACGTTTTTTGCAGAATTCTGCTTTTTTGAACGTCACCCGGGCTGTTTCTGAGATCGATGCAAAACCGTTGAGAAATCGCGAACTGCAAATTGGGGGGGGGGGGGGTAAACGAAGGACATGCTCTCTCTCTCTCTTCCTCTTTTCTTTGTAAAAAAAACTTTACATCATGCCAGAGATCGCGAAATGCATTGTTTCACATCAAGGCGAAGTAGATGGGGCTTATCTGGAAAAACGGAACTAGATGTGTATGAATATCGAATCAAAGAAGAGCAAGCAACCGTCAAACGAGAGCTGACTTCAATAATTTCAGCGATCGGTGCTGGCGCCATCTGTCGAACATATGAATAATACCCTGCTGATGTTATCCAGAGCACGTGCAAGTTTTAGCGTGTGTAAAGTAGCATACTGTAATTCGGAGCGTAGATCATTATGTTATTTCTTTTTTTTTTTTTTTTTGTTTGTTGCTGTAAGTTTTTCAGTGTGAATATCTTAAATCCGGATTATGAGCACAAAGCTCGGCATATAGATAGTGAAGAAAAAAATAAATTCAGATTTGCGTGGCTGAAAAACATCGTAAAAATTCATGTGAATGGACAAGAAATGGAAGTGGTCGTTGACAGTTGCATTCAGAAAGTGGACATCAGTGGAAAAGTGAAGTGTGCATTATGTTAATATATTATGGGAAAAGAGGGTGTGTTGCTATTAGCAGCTATATCAAAAGCAAAAAAACATTGTGGGAGAGAAGTAGTGAAAAGAGATAATTACAGGATGATCATCATATTCATCTTTGACAGACACAAATGTAAGCAGGCAGGAGAGAAAAATAGAAGCAAAATTAGCAGCTCCAAGTATTCCAATTTGTGATCGAGTTTCCAGCTTAGAGGGTCAACTGCTTGGAGTTATGGCTGAAAATAATTTGCCTTATACTGTAGCACCTGTGAGAATTGATTTGGCCAAAGCAATGGCATCTGATAAGAAGGCACTATCACAGCTCTCAATGGCTCACACTAGTGCTTTATATAAAATGAGATTAGGCCTCTCAAAAACATTTTTTAATAAAACTGTGAACAATTTAAAAAAGTTTAAATTTTCATTAAATATTGATGAAGCTACAAGTAGTAATGGAATGAGAGTTTTGTGCATATTAGCCAGCTACTTTTCTACAGAACACAATAAAGTAGTGGTCGAGCATTTAATATCTGTTAATGTTTTTAATGTGTATACTGAACAACTATTTCAAAAAATTGTGTCTCTCTTTGATAAAAATCTGCTGCCATTTGAGAATCTCATGTCTGTTTAGATGGATTCTTGCAATATAATGAGAGGATCAAAGTCTGGATTAGAGGTGAGACTTCGTAATGAGAAGGCTCCTTATTTGTTAGATATTGATAAGATTCTTGCCATCATATACATAATGCATCCAAGGTATTTTCTAAACCATTTGGTAGGTGGGTAGAAGATTACCTGCGAGATATATATAATGACTTTAACTGGTCTGTTGATTTAAAAGAAAAATTAGAGGAAATATGTGTGATTTCAAATGTCAAATATACTGCTATTGAACATTTTATTAAACACCACTGGCTGTCCATATATGATGTTACGTTGAGTAATTTACTCATGTTTGATTGTTTAACAATTTTTTATTATGGATTTTTAAATCAGTATGACAGATTATTATATTTTAATATATGTTGCAGTATCTATAGACAAAGAAATCTGAGCAGTGAAAGCAGAGAACGTATTAATGGTATCCACAGATATTTATAGCAAAAGCATTTGCCAAGTGATGGGAGGAAACAAAAAGAAAGAATAATTTCAAAATTATTTGACAGGAAAAAACTGCAATTAATTATGTATTTTTATGTGTCTGTATTGCCATTATTAAAAAATATGTCTGTCTATTTTAAATGAAAGAGCCTTTAATACATAAATTGCATGATGAGCAGAAGCAGCTATTTATTGACTTTTTAGCACTGTTTGTTAAGTCAGAATTTCTCCAAAATAAATCTATCTCAGAAATTTTGACTTAAGATGAATCTCATCTTTTATCCCCAAAGAGTATGTATTTAGGAGCAGCTACAATTGCACTTATTTAGTGAAACATATGTTAAAGAATTTTTTAAAAATTCCACTGAAGCTTTCATCAGCTGTGCAAAATATCTGCAGAAGACTTTGCCATTGATAATGAGACTTGATGAGTGGTGGGCCGAAGTATTTGCAGATGGCAGTTATCCAGCTTTATCCAAAATGGTAAAAGCTATTTTAAGTTGTTTCCACGGGCCTTGAGAGTGCTTTTAGTTCTATGAGCAGTGTGTTAGACAAGGAGTGTGCCCGCATGAGTATAGACACATTGTCTGCTATACAAGCAGTAAAATACACATTTTTGAGTTGTAATAAGTCAGCTCTGGAATTTTAAGGGATGACCACTTCACTTGCATTCTCCAATACATAAAACTCTATGTAAAAATTTAAGGAATGCTCATAAACTGTACAAAGAAGAGCTAGACATAGAAAAGGAGGAGCGAGAATCTAAAAAAAAAAGCAATTAAACATTGCAGAAAATAAAGAAAAAAATAAAAAAGTATCAATGGATTGTATAAAAGCTGCTGAAAAGAAATTGAGACTAGCTCACAAACAGAAATTAGAAAAGTTGGCTGCAAAAGTAGCAAAAAAGAAAAAGCTTTTTCCCTAAAAATTTGTAATCAGGATCGAGTGAGACTGGCAAAATAGTTATTTTTTATATTCCTCGTTTAATTATATGTTATTTTGTAACTATATTATCTCACATGACTTTTTCTGGTGTTATATAAAGTACTATTTATTGAACTAAAAGTGAAGATAATTTGAAAGCTATAGTAACAGTTATATATATATATATATATATTATCTCTAAAACTTGTCATTGGCTGAAAATGGGCAGTAATATGTAACATAAATAAGTATATTAGTGTGTTGTAATGTTGTGTACAGTATTTATGTATCAACTGTTAAATTAAGTTACATAAGCATCTTAAAGAAGGTTAATTCATTACAATCTGAAGAGATTTACTGATTTTTTTTTTTTTTTTACAAGTGGAAGATAAAATTAATAGCAAAATAGTAAGTACAAGTATTATTTTAGTTTAATTATATGTATATGATGTTTAATACTTTTTATAATAAAAGGTTGATATTTTATGAAAATGCGTTTTTTTTTTTTTTTTTTTTTTTTTTTTTTTTTTGAGGTCATGCGTGTGCATTTAGTTTTTATGTAATTTTGTGTCCATGCGTTTTCAGCTTTTTTTGTCAACTTGCACTTTCATGCCTGTAGTCTGCAGCCATATGTGCACATCAAAGTCCAAGATTTGAATTTTGAATTTGTTTATTTATTTCATATTTTATACAAATTTAATGAACTTTTGATTAACAAAGTCACTGATTTAAAATGGCAACACAGTTCGAAATAAAACATTTTCATTTCCAATGTGCTAGACTGTTGTCTTTCAGGAAAATGCAAGATATTTATCTTTCAGTTATAGTCCACAAACTCATCTATTTGACAGCAATGTAATGCCACTACCAGAAATAAAATACTGTTATTTTCTATGCCCTAGCATGTTGCAATTTAGTAAAGCTAAAGCTATTTAATTTTCCAATATAATCTGAAAGGTTACTGAGTAATAAATTAATTGATTTAAAAGCATTGAACATAGATCTTAAGAATATTTTTTCTGTTTTTAATGTGATTGATTTAAATAAAAACGCATTAAAACCATAGGATGTCTAATTAGAAATGTTTAATATTTTTATGAAAGTGCACTAGCTGGACTTCTTAAAAATCATTATATAGTTTTTGCTACCTTGAAAAGTAAAGGAAGTATTACAATCTCGAAAAAGTTCGGGGATCATATTTCAATGGAAATATGCATTTTAATTGTGTCCTGAATCCATTTGGATGAATTTTAGTTCCCCATGACGTTTGTATGGACGGACAAAATTAAGGACTCTTTTTTCCGAAATGGGTTAAAAATGGATTCAAAAGGGATTTTTGCATGACGTCTGTATGAAATTGAAAAATGATCAGAACATTGAAATTAGGGGACTGCTATAACATCTAGTTGTACATCTCCATTTTTTTATTGCAGTTGGCAGTAAATTTAAATTGTTTATTGCAGTTGTGTGTGTATATATATATGCAAGAAAAACTAAAATAAATTATAATTTAAATTAGCAACATGAATTAACTTCTGCTGTGTGTTCTAAAAATATTTCTCTAATTGCACTGCGTCATTTCGAGACTAATACATGTCATATGATTCTTACCTACTTCTGATGATGTAAATGGAACTAAAACTCGAATAGCCAATAATAACTTTACAGCATTATTAATTATCCAATCAAAATGCCTTGAGAACCAAAACTAACTCAGTCTGAATTAAGATTTCACCCTGAGTATAACATACTACTCCTCAGCCTAGCTGGTCTGCTGGCTGATGCTTCCTTCTACTGCAAAGTTATCAAAAATGTAAATCCCTTTCAAATAGGCACAAAATTATAAAA